CATGTTATATTATTTAACATTCCACTTATCAACAAAGAATGACATGGCATGCAAAGAAGCATGGCCTGTTACAGGAAGGGAAGCAGTCAACAGGAACTGTCCCTGAGAACACCCAGATACTATCTCACCAGTCAAAGTCATTATGTCATCTATTTAAAATATGTTCAGAGAACCGAAGGAAATCATTTCTCATAGAATAAAGTAATGTTTGAGGAAAATGTCTCACCAAGTAGAGAATATCAATAACAAGATAGATTTCTAAAACTAAATAGAAATTCTATATTTGAAAAGTATAACTGAAATGGAAAGTCACTAGAGGGATTCAGCATCTGCTTTGAGCACACAGAAGGAAGAATTAGCACATTTGAACATAGGTCTCTTGAAATTATACAGTCTGAGGAGCAGAAAGAAATAAGAATGAAGAAAAATGAACAGAGCCTTAGATGCCCATTGGGCAATATATGCACATGGGGGATATTTATAGGGAGAGGGCAAGAGGAAGAGGCACCGAGATGTTTAAGAAAAAAATGATCAAAAATCTCTAAAATTAACATCCAAGAAGTTCAACAAACTCCAAGCAAGACAAACTAATGGAGAGCCACACGGAGAGATTATATCAAAATTGTCAAGAGCCAAAAACAAAAAGAATCTTGAAAGCAGAAAGAGAAAAGCCAGTTGTCACATACAAGGACTCCTACTAAGAGTGACAGCGTATTTCCCTTCAGAAACCATAGAGGTCAGAAGGTAATGGGTGATGTGTTTAAACTTCTCAGTGAAAAAAAAAAAACTATCAACCAAGAACTTAATCTCTGACAAAACCATCCCTAAGAGTGAAGGAGAAATTAATACATTCCCAGTCAAACAAACACAGGATTTTGTTGCATTATAACTACCCTGCAAGAAATGGTAAATAGGCATTTCAGGTTTAGATGAAAAAACACTGACAGTAACTTAAAATCATATGTAAAAATAAAGGACAAGAGTAAATATATTTACCAGTAAAGGACACTGGTAAATATAAAAGCCAGTATTTTTAGTTTTTAACTATTCTTTTTTCCCAGATGACTTAAAATGCAAATGCATGAGCAATAATTATAAAACCATAAAGTTAACTGACTAAATTTGGTATATGAAGACATAATTTATGATGATAACAACATAAAGCTGTCCTTTGTGTGTGCACACAGAGCTGTAAAGAAGCAATTTCTTATTTAAACTAAGATGGTATAATTTTAAACTTGATTATTATAAAGTTAAGATGTTAACTGTCAAAACCACTAAGAGTAGACAGTAGACACTAAGAAAAAACTAGACAGGTAGGTAGGTAGGTAGGTAGGAAGGTATATAGACAGACAAAAGAGTAAATATTGTACATAAATATATATAATATATATAAAGTCATGTTAAATTAAATATAGTAAATATATATATTTAGTTCTGAGTACAGAAAAAGAAGTGAGAAGGAAATGAAAATAGAAAAAAATAAGTTAAATGTAAAAACCGGTAATAGAGAAAATAAGGAGCAAAAAAGATATGACATATTAAAAGAGAAAAATACAGGGTGCTTGGGTGGCTCAGTCGGTTGAGCGTCCAGCTTTGGCTCAGGTCATGATCTCATGGCGCATGAGTTAAAGCCCTGCATCAAGCTCTGTGCTGACAGCTCAGAGCCTGGAGTCTGCTTCAAATTCTGTGTCCCCCTCTCTCTCTGCCCCTCCTGTTCATCCTCTGTCTCTCCCTCTCTCTCAAAAATAAAGAAACATTTTTTAAAAATTTTAAAGAGAGAAAAATAGTAGAAGGCCTTCCTTATAAATATTAATTTAACTGTTAATAGATTTAATTCTCCAACTAAAAGGTGGAGATTGGCAAACAGATTAAAAAAATATATGCTGTCTACAAGAGACTCACTTTAGATCCAAAGACACAAATAGGGTTTTTTTGAAACAAATAATTTTAAAGTAAAGATATGCTCCTTACAAAGAGCAACCAGACAAGATGGTTTTTATGTTGTCAGGCTGAACAGACTTTAAGGCAAACCATTACAAAACACTATATATTGGTTGAATAATGTATTGATTAAGGACATCATAAGTTGATAAAAGGGTCAACTCGTCAAGAAGATCTGATAACTATGAACATAAGCACAACTCACAGGAGAGACCAAACTACACGAAGTGAAAACCAACTGATTAAAGAGAGAAACAGACAGTCGTACAATAATAGTTGGATAATTCAATGCCCCACTTTCAGTAATGGACATACAGCCAGACAGGAGCTCACTAAATAAACAGCAGTGCACACCAGCAGACCCAGCTGAGTCTACAGAACTCTTCACCCAACCACAACAGGAAACACACTTCACTAAAGCACAGAGCATGGGAGAGGCCAGGAAACAAGTCTCAATAAATGTAAAAAGATTGAAATAATACAAACAGTCTTTTCCAACCACAGTGGAGTGAAGCTAGAAATCAATAATAGAAGGAAAACTGGAAAATTCACAAGCCTGTCAAAATGAAACAATGCACTCTTAAAAAATTATAAGGAAAATTAGAAAACATTTTGAGATAGATGGAAATGAAAACACAACACCTCAGGACTACTAAGGTGCACTGAAAGTAGTACTGATAGTTGTATATTATAGGTCTATGTCAAAACGGATGAGCACAAATCAATAACTTAACTTCGCACTTTAAGAAACTATGGAGGGGGCGCCTGGGTGGCGCAGTCGGTTGAGCGTCCGACTTCAGCCAAGTCACGATCTCGCGGTCCGTGAGTTCGAGCCCCGCGTCGGGCTCTGGGCTGATGGCTCAGAGCCTGGAGCCTGTTTCCGATTCTGTGTCTCCCTCTCTCTCTGCCCCTCCCCCATTCATGCTCCGTCTCTCTCTGTCCCAAAAATAAATAAACGTTGAAAAAAAAAATTTTTTTTTTAAATAAATAAATAAATAAAGTGTCCACAACAGGCAAACCCACAGAGGCAGAAAATGGATTCGTGAGCCCATGGGGGAGGGTAAACACAGGGTGATGGTGGGTTTAGCATGTCACGGCGTTATGACAATGTTCTAGAACTAAGTGGTGGTGCGGTCGATCACACAGCCTTGTGAATGTACTAAAACCACAGAATTGTATGCTGTACAAGGGTAGACTTTATGGCATTTTACTCAATTACCTGGCACCAGTTCCTGTTCAGCCTCCTATCCCAAGCCTCAACACACCACCAGCTGCCTTCCAGAACTTTCCGGGCACCCTGACGTACACTCACTCCCTGAGCGCCACCCGCCTGATACACTTGGGCTCATCCTCCAGGACCTGATGTCAGGACCCTCCTGCCTGGACCTCAGCCCCACCAAGCAAGCTGTTGTCCCCTCTCTTCCCTACCTCGCCCCCAGACCCTTGGTTCAGAGGCCAGATTTCACAGTGTCTGGACAGGAGGCCTGTGCTTCTCACAGAGCACCAGGGACGGTCTTATGGACAGAGTCTCTCAGCAAAGTCTTAGAAGCTCTGTTACTACTTCGCAGAAAATGAAACTGAGTCACAGGTGGCAGGATCAAATGACCACAAATGGGGGGCCTAGGACAGCAGGCTTTGTTCTTTTCCAGGTCTGGAGGCCAGGAGACAGGTGAAGGTGCCATAGGGCCGCGCTCCCTTGGAAGGTTCCAGGAGGGTCCCTCCTGCCTCTCCCAGCTGCCAGGGCCCCAGGCATTCTGGGTTCATGGCTGTGGCCATATCCCCAATCTCTGCCTCTGTCTCCATGTGGCCATCTCAAATCCCCCTCCCTCATCTCATAAGGACCCACCCTGATCCAGGATGCTCTCACCTCGAGATCCACCTCAACCTTGATCACCTCTGCAAAGACCCCATGTCCACATTAGGCCACGTTCTGAGGTCTGGGGGCACAGGTGAGTTTCAGGGACACACAACACTGAGAAGTTGCCCCAGTCACCCAGCAGAGGTTAGATCTGACCCTATCTACACTCTGATCCCTGCACTGCTTGCCTTGAATAGGGTGTCCAATCTCAGCGTGCAGCCACCCCGTGGGACAGGGCAGTCCCAGCACACACACAGGCCAGCCATGTAACCACTAGCCCACCTCCTCCACCCTCGACGTCCCACTGCTGAGGCAGTAGGGCCAGGGGCACATTTTTCCAGGCTATCTGCAGGGGGGTGTGGCCATCAGAGTGTTTGAAACCACTGAGTTTGTGATAATTTATTGTACAGCAGACAAAAAAGGAATAAAAAAACACCCCTTGCATGTTCTTCCCACCTTGAATGTGATGGCCAGAGCTGTGGAAGCCATCTTGTGACCATGAGGCAACAAGCATTAGAAAGATCCTTATCTTGTGTTCAGGAAGGCAGAGAATTAGAGACAGACAGAAACTGTGTCCCCGGGATGTCCCTGTGATAGACTGTTAGAAGTGGTCCCTGATAAGCCAAGCCTCCCTGCGTCCACACCCCTCAACGGTGGGGTCTACTTCTCCCCCACCTTGAAACCAGACTGGCCTTATGCCTGTCTTTCCACCATACAAGGTGATGGAGGTCATACTCTGACCACAGACATTAACGAGCCCTGTAGCTCTGCTATGCCCTGAGGGGAAGGAGCCGGCTCTCCACAGGGAGAAATGGGCCCTGGGGTGAGGCATCATGAGGAAAGAAAGGGATCCCAGACACAGGAGTGAGCCTCACCAGCATCACAAGGAGAGAGAGGCTTGCTGTCCCAGACAGATGCATCCACTGAAACCACCCCTACTAGGACCTCAGATGCATGGATGAAGCCAGGCTGGATCTTCCTGTCCCAGCAGAAATGAACGGTCTCACTGAGTCCCTCCCCGAGTTCCTAACCACAGAACCAACCGTCTCCAAAGTTTGGGGGTACTTCTTACATGGCACCAGATAACTGACTGATACAGGCCCTGACCAAGCTGCAGATCACTGCCCCAGTCCCCACCTATATACTTCCTCCAGGCCTGTTCCTAGGATACGGTCATACATCTACCTCATCAACTGACCTGTCATGTCCAGGCGGAAGGAGACCTTCTCTCCCCTGGCCTCGCAGCTGTACTCCCCGGCGTCCACCTTCCCCACCTGCTGCACCACCAGCCTCCTGCTGCAGCCCGTGGCCTCCATGCGCACTCTGGAGCTGGCACTCAGCTTCTTCCCGCCCTTGTACCACGTCACCTCCGTCTTGTCCTGGGCCACCTCGCAGCTCAGCATGGCGCTGGCCCCCACCTTGGCCTGCACCTCACTGCGTGCCGGCTGCCCCTTGGCAAACACGGCCGAGGGCTCTAAGGACAGGGAGGGACAGGTGGTCAGAGGTCCTAGTTAGGTGAGGTTTCCCAAGACCTGGAGCCAAGGCACAGACACGCTGTAGACTCCAGGCCACCTTGGGAATCCTTCATGTCAGGTGCTGCCAGTGGGACCCTCCTCAGGCACAGGGTGGGGCTTGTGCCCTGACCCCTCTAAGCAGCATGATGGGCACCCTGGCTGGTGCCTGGGGACAGAGGGAGGGAGGCATGGGGGGCAGTGGCCAAGACCCTACTAAGAGCCAGGACTCAGGCAAAGCCAGATCCTGAGAATCCACCAAGATGCACCAATAGGTTCTAGAAAGAGCCAGAGCCTCATTCATCAAGATCCCAATTTAACCTGCCGAGGTGGCTTCCGGCACCTTTTGGGTCTTGCCAGCCTCACTTTTTCATCCTCGAAAAGAGAAAAAGGGCTGCAAATTTCTTATCTTTTATTCTCCATACCCACACTCCTCTCTCATCTAAATGTTAGTTCTGTGGGCACTTTCTTTCCCCAATTCCAGAAGCAACTGCACCCCCACAAGCATTCTTGGAAAAAAGGAAGGGCCGGGCAGCTTGGCCTCACAAGTGCTTGATGCAGCCGGACCTGCTTCCTACCCACCAAGTCCTGGAGGCTGCAGCTCACCACTGACACGCAGCTGGAAGTCCACGGAGTCCTCGCCCACACGGCATGAGTAGGTGCCCTCATCCTGCTTGGTGACCGAGGCTGCCACCAGCCGGTGCCACGTTCCCACATCCTCCTGCAGGAAGCGCTGGCTGGAGCGGCTGAGCTCCGTGCCATCCTTGTACCAGCGCACACAAACCTGGGCCTCAGAAGTCTCACATTCAAAGTGGGCTGGGCCCCCAGCCACGGCATCCACCAAGCCACCAGCTGTGTCCTTGTGCAGAAAGGGAGTGAGCCCTGCAAGGGCACATGGGCAGGTCAGGGGGCCGGCAGAGCCCTGGCCACACATCCACCCACTCAGACAGCAGATGGAGATGCCCAGAGCTCCAGGGCCTCACTGACCAGGGTCCCATTCAGAGGCAGGACTGGCCTGGGATGCTGACCTCTAACCACTCACGCACCACCTGCTCTTAGGAAGACCCTCCCCACCCTCTCACAGGCTGTCCACCTCTCACACCATAGCGTCACTGGAGCCAGTTTCCCAGACTCCCGCTCCCCAAGATCAGCTAAGTCCCCCACCCTCCCACAAGGACAGAGGACAGGGGCTCCCACTGCCCAGACCCCCTAGAGCCTGCCCAGAGCTGGGAACATAACGTGTGGCCGTGACCATGGTGATGGTGGGCAGGCGAGGACGTGGACACACACACACACAGAGGACATCACCTTGCACCAACAGCTGGTAGGCAATGCGGCCCCCATGGCTGACACACTCGTACAGGCCAGCATCGTCTCGCACCACATCCCGCACCAGCAGTGCCCGCTGTCCAGCACTCGCCTGGACCTCGTATTTGGGGCCCAGGGGCAGCACGTGGCCGTCCTTCAGCCATGTCACCGCCGCAGCCTGGTCTGAGAGCTCTGCCAAGAGCTGTGCCTCCTCATGCAGCCGGGCCAGCACTTCCCTCACAGCTGCCACTGGACGCTTGGCGGCCAGCCCTGGGGCTGTGTGGGGCCACAGAGGTGGACACAGGGGACGTAGACAGAGGGGTGGACGGGGGGGGCAAAGGGGAAGGGGGCAGAAGGGGAAGGAGCAGAGGGAGAGGGGGCAGAGGGAGGGGGTGGACAGAGGAGGCAGACAGAGGGGATGGACGGGGACAGGGAGGGGGAGGGGACAGTGGAGAGTGGACAGAGGAAATGGACATGGAGGGGGAGGGGACAGAGGAGGGGGACAGAGGAGATGGACAGGGATGGGGAGGGGGCAGAGGAGAGTGGACAGAGAAAGCGGACAGAGAGGATGTATGGGCAAGAGAATGAGACAGTAAAGAGTAGACACAGTGGGGGGTGGGGTATGGGAGAACAGACAGAAAAAAAGAGGAAGAGACAAGATTGCAGAGAGAGAGGGGAGCAGACAGATGCAGAAGTGAGGTCCTGCAGCTCCTCCTCCACTCACGCTGAGGCCGAGGCCGCCCCCAGCCCTGGGCAAGCTGCCTCACACCCCCTCCTCTGTCCTGCCCACCACATCCAGGAGACCACCCAGAGCCCACCTGGCCCTAGGGAAGATGCCTGGGGGGGTCACAGCCACACGCCCCTCCCCTGCCTGCCACATCCAGGAGACCACCTGGGAGCCCACCCTGCCCCTAGGGAAGAGGCCTGGGGGGTCACAGCTGGGGTCCCCCTACCTCGGACCTCCATACGGATGCTGTTCTCAATTCCGTTGGCCACGAACTTGAGCTCAGCGCCATGCAGGCTGGCGGACACGGAGCGGATGGTGAGGGCATGCTGCGTGCCATCGTGACGGATCACATACACACTGCTGGCCTTTAGGGCCTGGCCATCCAGGAACCACTCTCCAGCAGAGGCCAGAGTGAGGTCCACCGAGAAGGTCACCTCGCCACCCTCCACCGCCTCCACCGCCTTCAGAGGAGTCTTCACAGCCAGCTGGGGGGCTGCAGAGTGAGGGCCTTAGGAAGGGGCCGGCCTCTGCCCTCCTCTGCTCCCCCTCCAGAGCCCAAGTTCCCCCTCCCCCAGGAAGCCCTCGGGACAGGCTCCAGGAGCCTTCCTCACTTACCCAGGTGGACAGTCCCTGGAAACTCCAGGTAGGGGCTCTGGCCAAAGCTGTTCACAGCTGATACCCGGAACTGGAAGTCCCCCTCCTCAGCCACGCTGGCCACAGTCAGCTCACGTTCAGCCACCAACTCCGCCTCGTGGCACCGGCTCCAGGTGTAGGCGCCAAGCCGCTTCTTTTCCACCAGATAACCGTCGATGGGGACAGGGTGGTCCCCATGGGGTGGTGGGGACCAGGCAAGGGTGACGGAACACTCTGTCCTTCCCTTTACCACAGGGGCCTCAGGGGCATGCAGGGGCGGCCTCCTAGGGGCTGGAGAGAGCACAGTCAATATCACTGACTGGCAGTTCCCTCCCAAAGCCCTGGGTCCAAGCTCAGCCCTTCAAGGTGTCACAGAACTCCACCCTGCTGGGGGAGCTACTTTCATGATCTGGGAATGGCCATGGCACAAGGGGACGCTGGGCCCAGGGAGGGCGTGGGCCTGCCACCCCTGTCCCAGCCCTGTGGCCATTTCTTGGGTTGCAGTGGGAAGAGTGCTCCGGCTTCAGGCCACTCAAACTGTGCACGTGGCCTGGGGACCAGGCTTATCCGTTTCTGCAGGTCTTAGGCTAACCAGGGACCAAAGCAGGTGCAGTGACCACTCTGAGGGTGCTCAGACCTGTGTGCAGGGACACATTCCTACCCCAACCAAGGGCTGACCAATGGGTGTGGGTGGGGGGAGGGACCTACCACCCAATCTACAAATGGGATACCAAAGGTCACAGAAAGAGGACACGCCTACACCTGACATCCCACACCCACCCCATGCCACCCACAACAATCCCTACCTTCTAATTTGGTTCATAGAGTGGGGAGGCCACCAGGACTGCTACCTCACAGTCACCTGGGGTGATCACGGTGAAGAAGGGCGCAAACAAACCAAGGGCCCCAGGAAACTGAAGCTATGACCCATTGGTTCAGTCCCCCAAAGCCCTCCGTGCAGCGGGCTGGAGAGCACAGCAGGGCCCCATGGACGAAGGAGGCAAAGGGCACTGTCCATTCAAGGGCACTCCCCAGGCCCTTACCAGACACGAAGAACTGGGTGGACGTCCGGCAGTCACCAGCAGTGAAGGTCACCTCGCCCACGTCTTCCAGGCTGCACTGGGAGATGGTCAGCGTGTGGCACATGCCTTCTGTGGTGATGGCCACGCGGCCCCCGGCCACCATCTCCTCCTGGTTCCTCAGCCAGTGGACAGGGCCCTCGGGCCTGGCCAGCTCCACACAAAACATGGCCGTGTCACCCACGCGCACCGCGGTCTTCCTCGGGAGCTTCCGAATGAGGTTTCCTGTGGTGGTCAGGGTGAGAGGCTGGTCAGATAGGACCCCTGCCCCAGCCTCCTTCCAGCACACCTTCTGGGCCCCTGTCCACCCCCGCAAGAGACACATCTTCATTATCTCTCTCTACTCCCCTCTACATGGCTCCCAGGACCTATCAGTCATATGATGCTCCCTAGTGTCTCCCCTGTAAGATACCTGCCCCCTAGGACCTCCCCCTTGTCTCATCCTCAGGACCCTGCCTGCTCTCTTCCCTATCACCCTTTTCGCCCACCTCCTCTTTTGCAAGGCTCCCACTTACATGACTCCCCTCTGTATGGCTCCACTAGCTGTGGCAGGGACCTGTTCTCTCTCTCTATCATGCTGGGAGGGACTGACTTCCATAGGATTCCTGTTCCCTTTCACCTCATTACATGGCTCCCTGTTTCCCTATAGAGTGGACCTTCTCATTTCTCACTACCGAGTAGGCTCTCTGCTTTATCCTGTATGACTTTGCCTCTCCCCCACTTTCTTTTCCTGCTCTTCTGCCTCTACTTCTCTTCTCTCCCCATTAGGACTCCTTGTCTCCATCCCAGTGAGGACTTCCCTGCTCAGCTCCTTTTTCGACGCTGCTCCACTTGCAGGCAGGCAGCAGCAGGCTCACACTAGCAAGCTGTTACTCCAGAGGACTCCCCACTTAACCCATAAGCAAGGCAAGTTGTTACTCAGACTGGACTCCTCGTTTCACTCCTCACATGATTCCCCTTGCCTCTCTCTGAAGAATTTTCTCCTAGTCTCCTTCTGCCTGACCTTCCTCCTCCCCTAATTTTGTAATTGCGGAAGCTTTGCCATCAGGAGCAGTTCTCCTGATTGTCTCGCAGACGTAGATCTATGCCCGTCGTCGGTCGAGACATTGCGCAACCGTGCCAGCTGCTCAGTGCCCGCCCCTCGCCGGTGTGTACTGCGCCGGGTCCACAGACGCGTCCTTGTACCACGCGGGTCTCCGTGATTTAGGCGGCAGGCGGCGGCAGCTGCGTAACAGACCAACGTGGCTGACTTCTTCTCCTTAACCCCTGGTCCTGAAGTTCTCTTGAAGGGCACGGTGGGCTCTGCGGGGGAGGAGGCTGTGAGAGGTGCTGGGGTTGGCAGGATGTTGCAGCGGCAGCAGGAAGAGCTCGAGGGAGACAGAGAGACAGGGGGGGAGGGGCAGGAGCGATTGAGCCATGGGTGAGCTTTCGCGCGGGAGGGCAGGAAGGGGGGGTTAAGGGGCCTCGCGGAGGCCGTGAGCGCGGGCGGGGAACCAGGGCAGGCTGAGGGGCTGCTGTGGGGAGGAGAGGCAGGCGAGCAGCAGGGAAGGGAGGTAGGGGGATGAGGCGGGACAGGGGCGGCGAGGGCACAGAACCCGAAGGCCCCTTTCCCCTGAGGAAGGAGATGTCCCGGAAGACAAAAAGGAGAACCGCCCAGCAGGCAGCAGCCCAGCGCAAGCTCTGGGGGGACACGCCCGGCTGACCCACGCCCACGCAGCAGCCAGGTTGTGGGCCAGCCCAGTCACTGGTGCAGGTGCCCCTGGATCACTGGCTGGTGTGGGCTAGGCCCCGCTGCCTCCTTGGCATGCGCATTTGTGCAGCCTCCCCCCCCCCCCCCAAGGAACCTGGCTACAGCCCAAGTGGGCTAGCTGGCTGGCCTGGGCACTGAAGGTCGGGAGCACCCCGAGATCCGGCTGGTTAGAAGTGGAGGTCAGTCTCTTCCTTAGGGAGCTCGCCAACTTGCCCGCCGATCGATCACGTCGCTCGCCAGGGCTCTTCCAGAACCTGGAGGGAGCCCCGGACCTCCAGGATCCTCAACGGGAGCCTTCCAGAACTGCTCAACCCGGCTCGGCCCCCCGCGCTTGCCAGCCCCTCTCCTTGCCTTTTCTCCCGGACTCGCCTGGGAGACCCCTTTTTGGCAACCTGTTGTCACTGGGTGTGGAGGGTCTAACTTTATTATGTCTCAGAGGAGGGGGTTATGAATAAAGCGCTTTGTTCACTCATGTGACTCTCACAAAGACACACAGACAGGTCGAGGGCCATCTTCCGTCGCCCCTACTTTCTCTGGCCAAAGAGGCTAGGAGCCGCCAACAGCTCTTCACCTCCCTTGGTGGATTCCACCGCCAAGGTTTCCCATTCCGGGTGGGGGCGGGACTGGGGAGGCGCTCTGCCGCCTGGTGGCAGACCTGGGCGGGGACCAACAACAGCACCGGCCCCGCGTGCGGGCAAGGCGTGCTCACCTCTACGACGACTGGAAGTTCTCCGAGCTGTAGGATTTGGTCTGGCACTTGCTGGACGCCGCGCAGGTGTAGAGGCCCCGGTCCGACTGCTTGCAGAAGAGGATCTTACACGTTCTCCTGAGTCTCGTCAGGCTGACTACAGGTGTCGCTGCCGGGCTCCACCACCAGCTGGCCATCCTTCTTCCACACCGTCTCTGGCTTAGGGGTTGCCTGTTCGTAGCGCAACTGAGGCGCGCGTGGTTTCCTTCAGTCACGGTGTGCGCGTGCCAGAGCCAGGTGGCGAGGCAGGGATGCCCTCGGCGTTTCTCGACGCCGCCGCAGGTGCGCGCCAGAAGCCCGGCAGAAAGGCGGGGAGGTTCCGGCGGCGGTCTGGTCCATGTCAGAAGGCTGGGTGTCGAGACCGGCGAGATCTAGCGGTTTCGGCGCTAACCGCGTATGCTGCCCAGCGCGGTCACTGCTGCGGACTGGATGCGCAGCTACTGGTCTCGCCTGCTGCCCCGACGCGCTAATCTGAAGGCGTCGGCGCCCAGGTCGGTCGTCCCGGTCCAGCTCATGGTCATGGGCGGCGAGTCAGCACGGGCGTGGGATGCGGTCTCATGCCCCCGCGGCAGCACGCGGATTGACGTAACGGTTTCCAGAGAGCGGGGGCGTCACTGGATGGCCTGCAGGTGGGGGGCGCAGTGCCTGCAGGCAGGCAGGCGGTGGCAGGTTCCCTCTCTCCATAACACAGGCCGGGCCCACACTCCGGTCACATGTCTCAACATTTAGCACACATAGCCACAAGCACGTACCGTGTCTCATTGGTCAGCCTTATAGAGGGGTCAGGTCCGATTTATGAGGGCGGCACAGGCACGTCGTCCCAACAGGAGGCTGAGAGCCCTGCCCCACCGGCTATTGCTGGTCCTTCCCAGCCACCACCACACCGCACGAGAGGGGTTGCCTACCACGACATCTGGCAGCGGCAGTTTCCGGGAAGCGTGGCGTCTCTTCCTTCCCACCGACACCACAGCGCTCAATGGGTCAGGAATCGGGCGCCCCGGGGCTGGAATGAGTGATCCATGGTGGGGCGGGGCGACGGACGGACTCTGAGAGCAGGTTGGGGAATTGTTAGGGGATGAGCCGCAGGTGCTGTCCGAAGTTCCTCCCGCTGCTTCCCCTCAAACTGTAGTGTCCCCTGAAGGTCCAGTTCAACCCAGGGTGGACACCTCCTGCCCATCACCCCCCCCACCTCCACGCAGGTAGGATCCCGATTGAAGGCACAGTGGTGCAGAAATCAGATTTACCTTTCTGGGCACTCACCCCTGGACTGGTACCCCATCGGCTTTTCTACGGGTGAGCATATTCCTCTCCCCTTCCTGTCCCCCAGCTTCTCTAGCTCCTCTCATTTCCCCCAATCCTTAGGTCCAGTTGAGAACCTGTCCTGTAAAACAGCACACACCAGCAGCCAGGTTGGCCTCCTTCCTTCTGTGTGCACTAGGTCTCTTGGGGGCCATATGCTGTACCTCTTCTCCACATTGACCTGCTCTGTTCCTCCTTGCCCACTCAGCTGGGCTTCCTCCTGGTGACCAGTTCCCTTCCTCACACACCTTCTGCTTCCTGGAGTCTGAAACTCCAGTCTGCTTACATATCACTGCTACACTCAGCCTCCACACCTGGACGGGCTCCGGCTCTCAAGTGGAGTGCACCCAAGGTGACTCCATTCTCCCAGTAGGTTTTCATTCTTGGGTTCTGGTGTGTCCCTTTTTGTCCCCTCTACTCCTCCAGGTGATCCATCTTCCTTCCAAAGCTGGGCCACACAGTCCTGCTGGGTGCAGCTCAACCTCCTGAGGAAGTGCCTGCCCACACGACAGGCCTGCCTTTCCCCACCTGTAGCTGCCAGCCTGCACCTGTCCTGCATGCCTCCTCCTCCTCCCCCTGCCAAAAAACCCTGATGAGCAGGGAAGGATTAGAGACCCTGTTGCCAGGTGACTTCCTCCTAACTGGCCACACCCCCCCCTGCCAGAACACACAGGGGAGATCTGGAGGGCACACAGTCAGCAGTGAGCCCAGGGAGGACAGGCAGAGAGTCCCCTGGGAAGGGCCTGGCCAGGTTGACTGACTGTAAGGGGAGCCTCCCCCTGTCACTCTACAGACTTGTAGGCACCCCTGTGGGGATGGGTGGCACCACCTCAGGGAGGGCTCTGCCTGGCCTCCTCCCCTCAGGCCCCCATGTGGTCTTCTCAGCACAGGTGGTGGAGTGGTGAGCCTGGCCTTTACTCGACCGGCTTCTTTATGTAAGAACAGCAGCGCACTGGGCTCAGGGCTGGCCTCAAGCACCTTTACTCCTTCCCCAATCCACAGCTGGGCTTCTAGCGTGGGCTGCCCACTGGGGGACAAGTGGGGTGATGTCCTGTGATTCAGGGCCTAATCCCCCTTAATCCCCCTCTAGGAGGTGAGACCGCTCCAGCCTGCTGACTCACTGTGTGGTCAGCACCTCTGGCCCCTGCCCCCCACGGCCTGGCCATGTTCTGGAGCTGGGAGGACCTGGGCGGGTGGCCACCAGAGCCCCGCCCCTGGGGACGCCCTCTTGGGCCTTGATGTCCCTCTGGAGAAGGCTTACTCAGATCTCCCCTGAGATCTAAGCTCCCAGGGCCCCCCTCCTGAATCACAGTCGGTGGGTCCCCCAAAGCAGGACACTGAATCCTCCCTCCAACACACCAGGTGCAGCTATGGGAGATAGGTCCTCTGAGCTCATGAGTGGGCATGGGCAGGGGCCACCCCACAGCTAGTGGCCTCTGGGGGGTAGGGACAGCAACAGGGACAGGACAGGGAGCTCCCATCACCACATGTGCTTAGGGGGAGCCAGCCCAGGACCTTGGCAGGTGCACAGGCTGACCCCTGGCCTGGCAGGGGTGGGCAGAGACCTCCAAGATCCTCTGAGGCCCCCAGGGACAGTGCTGATGCCTGTCTCCTCATTTAACAGCCTGTATTTCCCACCTCAATGCAGCAGACACCATGAAGCCAGGGTTGGGGGCTCCCACAGATACAGCTGCCTCCGAGTCTACCCTGCCAGGCAGGCATCCCCACTGGTCAGTAGAACCCTAGCTCCAGAAATGCTTGCCCGAGGACTCCAGAGCCACCCACCGTCCTTCAGGCCAAGTTGGGAACACCCTCTGGGGGCCCCCAGAACTCCCATTGGGCACATACATGCAGCAGTGAGCTCAGAGACAGGAGACTCAGGAGGGGACACAGCCCCAGCCTCCCAGGAAAAGCCCCTTCCTTCCTCAGATGCCCGCCTGGGAAGGCAGCTCCCTGTAGACCCCACTCAGACTCCTGATTTCTTGGAGGACCTAGCTTGGCACTGGCAGGAGCCTCCCTCCACATGGAGACCATGACTCCCCCACCCCCACCTGGGGTCATTTCTCTAGAGCCCAGGAGTCCCCGGGGCTGACCTGAACCCTGCCCACACCCTCCATCCTGGCTCTTCTAGAACTTGGCCAATCTCAGGTCCTCTTCCAGGGGCCCCTGGGCCATTTCTCAGATGCACCAAGGGTGGGAAGTGACTTGCAGCCTGACTGCAGAGTCTGGTCCCTTCCTGGGAATCCCTGCTGCCCCTGCCCCCACCCTTCCAGAAAAGACTTCCAAGGGCAGCTCCTGGAGTCTGTGCCTCCCCCTAGACCCCTGGGCTGGCGGCTTCCCGAACTCCTGGGGAAATTCTTTCCTGGAGTCAGGTGTCAGTGCCCCTTTGGCTGTCCCCTCTGCTGAGCCAACAGGCCTAAAATAGCCCCAGCTGTCAGCGGACATCCATCTCAGCAGAGCTGGGGGCAGGGCCGGCCAGACCTCTAGGCCTGCCTCACAGCAGGGAGCCCCCAGCGAAGGAGGAGGTGGATGCACCCCATGGCCCCCTGACCTCACACCCCAGCTGCTCCCTCCCCAAATGAGGGCTCAGGTCACTGCAGGGACTGGATTCCAGGGCTCCAACCCTCAGAGGAGCGGCACAGCCTGGCTAGACCAGCCCCCTCCCAGGGCCACTGTACCCCACAGCCCTGACCTTCAACAGAGCAGTCCTGGAGGAGAGGGGCTAGGCCCAGGATGGCCCCCACCCCTGTCTGTCCTGCCTCCTCACCTGTCTCTACGGGAGGCTGGGAGCAGCACCCAGGCGGGGGGCTCAGACGGCAGGGCAGGGGCTGCTGGGTCTCACCTCCCTCCACGGGCCCAGGACCGACACGGCTCCCACCCAGCAGCCCACTCTCTGGCCGGTCCTCAGACTGGACAGGGACGAAAGGACAGGCGGACGCTGTCAGCTGGAGAAGGCTGGGCCCGCCCCCACCACCAGCCAGCCCAACCCAGCCCAACTCCAAAATAGCCCGGGTGTCACTGCCCCGGATTTGGTTTCACCCCCAGCCCCACGGAAGCAAAGGGCACAGACTCTGCATGGCCAGGTGTTTGGTGGGGGACAGCAGGGATGTGGGTGGGGCAGGGACCCCATCTTGTGGGGAACCCTGTTCAGACTAATATCCCGGGGTGCAGGGAAGGAGGGAGCCTAGGGGACCCAGAACCACCCAGAGGAGAGAGGGGGACCTGAGACCCCCAGAGGATATCCAAGATCACCTTGAAGGGACCTGGGACCCCTCCCCTAGAAAGGGATCCAGAACCAGTCAGAGGGGACCCAGAGCCAGCCAGAGGGGATCCAAGACTGCCCAGAGGGGACTAGAACCAGCCAGAGGGGAGAGGGGGACCAGAAACCACACAGAGGGCACCCAGGACTGCCCAGAGGGGACAGGGGTCCCAGGAACATGCCAAGTGCACTGGCCGTCTGAAGGTCCTGCAGACTCTGGGTATAGGTGGGCAGCCAGAAGCTACACACAGGCCTAGGGCAGGTATTGTATCCTTGGTGCTTCCGGCAGCACCTGGCCTAGCTGTTGTGTCCATGGCACCTTTAAATGGGAACCCCTGAGAACCCAGCTAGGGGCCTTTGCTGGCCATGGACAAGGGAGGGCCCCAGGCCCCAGGGTGGGCCGGCAGGACAATGTGTGTGCTGCAAATGACCCAGGAAGACTGTTCCCAACTCCATGGCTATCACCCTGATGCAGGGACAAGCAGGGACAAAAGGCCAGCCCTGCCTGGGTGAAAGGTAGCCTTTGTCTCGTGGGGCTTAACCAGGACCCAGAGGGCCCACCTGCTGGGAAGTGGTTGATTCCCCGCCTCCAGCAGCCCAGGTCTGAGAAACCCCCTTCAGGAACCCCAGATGAGGGTAGGGACCAGGGGAAGACACGCAGGCATGCCCCTTGCACCTGCTTGATCTGAGGACTTTTCCTGCAGGTGTGTCCACCAGTTGACTCTCACCACGGCCAGGTGTAAGGGCCAGGAGTCCAGAGCACCCAGGGAGGTGGGAAGGA